ATCCATCACTCGCCCTGCATCGGAGCCGATCATCGAGCCCATCTGAGCCATCGGATTCGACACCTCACATGCGTCAAGAGGATCGAGTTCCTCGTTCGCTGGAAAGACCGCACGCCAACTGAGGATAGCTGGGTGAGTCCCCCTGGCCAACATTGAAAACCACCCTGCCCTGCAAGTGTATCTGAGGAGCCGGGGTTTCAGCGATATGCACGCACTCGCGTAGCGGAGGGGGCTTCTTGGGGGGTAGTGTAAGGAATTTTCTCGACGTTCCTTACCGTGAACCTCAACATCGCGTACCAAGGCTCTTGCTAGGTTTTCGGGCTGTCTGACAATACCCTGAAAAAAAATTCCCCTGTCTTGCGCTCGGACGACGAAATTTACATGGTCTGCATTATAAGCTGGAATAGTTTTTCTAGTCTGATAAATAAGACGAAAAAAAAAATCCTATTAAAAGTCAACCTACTGTAATCCTACCAGCATTTCTACTCATAGTACCTAACAACCTAGCTGCAGTAGCAAAGGACTTAGTCAGAGTCACTAGAGCCGTACACTTCATTGCTATCAGTATCATCCTCGCTAACCACTGACTCTAGGACAGTGGCCCTTTCTTTCCTACTAAGCCACGGGTACTCAGCATCCATCCTTGCTGCTTCTACTGCTAGGGCCGCTTCTCGAGCAGCCGCTTCTGCTGCTGCCAGTGCTGCTGCTGCTGCAGCTGCGGCCGATCTTTTCTTCGCACGCTTGCTCGGTCTCTCCCCGGACGCCATCAGCACATCATTCGCAGGCCTGCGCTTCTTGGAAGCATTCCACCTCCTCAGTAACTTGGGCCAGTCCATGTCGTAGTTGAGGAGCGAGACGGCCATCAGCTCTCCTAGCTTTGCGTCGCACAGGTTCCCGCGAAGCCAGCTTTTGATGATGTTCTGCCGTGAAAAGCAGCGCTCACACTCGACGGTACTGAGCGGAAGCACGGCGACGGCCATCCACAGGTGGACGAGGTTCGGGTAGCATGTTGCCCAGTCGGGGGAGGACAGCATGAGCTTCAGGCCGTTCGCAAACCCAACATCCTCCTGGTGTGAGGCCATGATTGCGGAAAAGGTGACGATCCTGTCAGAGTATTATAGCTGATGCATGTTTGTAGGCTATAGTGGGGTAGCACATATGGGGTACAGCTTTCTAGGGTTGTATTTGTACCCAACTCTGACTTAGTCATTTTCATTCCTGTTCACTTATTTCACATGGTATCAGAGCGATCTCGGGCTCGAATCCCGGTGTATGCACATGCTGGCCGTTGCCACTGTGCTCAGTCCTGGGCCTCCCAGTGTGGGGGGGTGTCAGTAGAGCTACACTGTGAGATCCCCGATCGATCCTAGGGAGGGCTACAGGCGCGTTTGTCTGGGGGGTTATGGGCGCACTGACCTGCTACTGAAACAAGCCCTTTTATCCCAATGGTCTAGTGGTTGGGATTCTGACAGATCTCCCTCTGCGCTCTCGCCCACTTGATGCCTGCGGTTGGGGTGCGCATGGGGACAGGGAGACAGGAGATCATAAAGGGTTGAAACATGCAGCTGAAAGAGAATTCTGAAGACTATAGCAGCACATTCCCGGCATTTGACGCACCTGGTAGAGTATCAGGGTCTTCTGGCTTCTTCTTGAACATGTTGCGCAGAGACTGGAGCCATTGCCCTAGCCTTCGCTCACGCTTTGCCAGGTTCTTGGGATACGATCCCTGCTTGAACAGCTTCGCCCCGTCGAGGTGTGAAAGATCCTTGAGGCGGTAGTCGAGCCGACCAACCAAGGTCGTGATGAACTCGCGCGCCAGCCCAAAACACGCTTGGTGGTCCACACCACTTTTCTGCCCCTTGATTTTCTCCTCGTGCAGTCGGTATCGATGGCTGACCGATGTGCCGTCGGAAGCTGCGCCAGCAACGAGGACCTCACGGAACTCCCCTGATGCATGCTTGTCGAGGAACGGGCCCGACGCGTCTCCACCCTGGCCAAAAGTCGCGTCGTCGCAGTCGAGGTAACGTGTGCGCAGCAGTAAGGTGGTGTTGTGCTCTATCGCCAGCAGATGGGTTGCGTCGGCCTGTGAACGGGGTTGCAACAGAAGGATGTTATTAAAAGTATAGTAAAACAACAAATAGTAAGTCGAGAGACCTGCTCACCTGGCGCCGCTGAAACTTCAAGCTGAGAAGGTTGAGCTCCTTCAGGACATCAGCAAGGAAAAACAGTAGGAAATGGAATTTGTAGCTTGTTACGACTTGATACATCTTCTTGTTTGTCTTGTGCAAGACCATCACTGCTGCAGGAAACACCTTCACCAAGCGCTGGATGGCGTCACCACGAGACAACCATCGGACGTCCTTGATGCCTTAGACTTCGAGGTGGGTCTCGCAAATGACCTCCTCAAGCTCTTGAAAGCGGGCGTGATTAATAGAAGAGCGACCAAGGTTCTCTACTACGGCACGGACCACCTTGTCCACGATGTTGAAGTCCGGATGCGCGGTGGCAGCATCCGTGGCCGCCAAGGCCTCCCTGCAAGACAACGGGACGTAACATTAGCACGGGTATTTTTTATTTTAAGTAAAGAAAACACGAAGCAACAAACTTACCTGTGCGCGATGCAGTGGGACGACACAAGATGAGGAACCTTGACTTTGAGGCGCGCTGTGACTCCGTTGTGCTATCCAAGCATGACAGAAGCACCATCAGTGCTCATACCGGTGAGGCGCATCAGGTCGATGCCGGTACTCTCCAGATGAGTCAAGAGAACTGTAGTGAGTGACGTGGCGCCACACTGATCCACAGTGAGCAAGGCGAAGAACTCAGTGACGGGAGCGTTGTCACGCATGAACGTCAAATAGACGATCATGTGTTTCCCCCGCCGTCAGTCGGTGCTCTCGTCCAACTGGATGCCAAGGTACGGACTATCGCGGATGTGTTTCAGACGGGACTTCAGGTAGCACACCATGGTCTCGACCAGTTGTGCGAAGCCGTACCTGAGAAACGTGGGGTTAAAACTCGTTAGTATTGTAAACCCACGGAACACAAAGCAGAAGTTTTGAACGGGACACTTACTCGCTGTAGTACGTCCCGTTCTCCTTCAGGGGCAGATCCGGAGTCCCCTGCTCTGCCATGAACTGAACCAAAGCCACGAATAGCACAATGGGAGCGTCAGACTTGCAAATGAATAACACGATAGCCATTAAGCGAGCAAGACGCTTGACATCATCGTCCCCCCAGTGGAAGTCAGCAATGGACTTCTGCACTTTCTTCACGCCGTCGCGCTCCTCCTTCCTCAAGACCGCGGCCTCATGTTTCAGATTGTGGTGATGCTTGCGCATCGTCTACTTCTAAATGTCGATGCCACCATCGCCGTTGCGCCCGTATTTGTAGTTGGGGTCCCCGAAGACCATGTAGACGCTGCAGCGCATGCAGGGGCGGCCGACCTTGTTTTCGGAGATGAGAAGCCAAGGAAAATACCGCTGTCACTGCTGCTTGCACTTCAACTGAAGCTCCTCAACCGATAGCTGCTTGCCTTTCGGATCTTCGAAGTCTTCATTCGCGGGTTCAGGCTCTGCGGGAGGCGGAAGAACTAACAGTGCTGGCTGAGTCGGACCGCCTGGACGTAAAACGGTGAGAACCTGCTGCTTATACCGCTTCTTTAATGATCTGTCGGGCAAGACAGGGTTAGCACTGAGAGAGGTAGTAGCGACAGATACTGCAGGGATGCTCTTATTTGCACCGTTGTCTGGCATCCGAGAATTTACTAGCGTAGTAGGGGTAGCGGTTGATGGCACGGAATGATCGCCATTTACCGAGATTGGAGCATCGCCTTCGGGCAAAGGGACCGCAACAGAGGTCGACGCAATCGGTGGGGCAACAGAAGCGATCCGCTTGCCCCGCGTTAGGAAGTCTAACGCCGTAAGCACGGGCTCCGCATCGCATGGTCCGCCGGCGAGGACGGCCATAGTCTAAACGCTGGGAAAACAGACGTTGGGAGGGATACGGTCCATGCTCGGCTGAGTGAGAGTTGAGGACAAGCAGGAGAAACAGGCTTGTTTTCAAGCCTCACCCAGCTGCATGAAACCCCATCACCGTGCACTGCATTCAGAACCAAAAGGCGCTGCGTGTTGGGAGCGGGGGGCACTATGACCACAGTGCAATGTTGCATGACGTCTAGGAAATGCAAATGCGCCGGCAGTGGCACAACGGGACAACGCGTTGCCGTGGCTGTGGCTGGCGTCGGCGCTGACAGCCAGCCACACGACAAACTCCTGGCAGCATATGCCGCAGTTACATGACAGCGAGGCTGCTATAAGACACGCGTATTGAATGCGCGTGCTGTTACAGAGCAGCAAATGGCTGTACCTATGGTCCTATTCTCTGGTCCACTGGGCATATGGCCTAGTGGGTCAAGATGTCGGTTTCAGACGAAACTGAACTCGATATCTGTATATTTAGATTAAGAATTCTACACGTCTGGAAAAATCATTCGAACCTAAAACACTTATCTTACTAATCAGATGTGAACAAACACAGATTCTTAGGAAGCAGATGAATACAAAAAATCAAGTCTTAAACTCTGACCATCATACCAAATTGGTCTGATAACGAGAGCCCTGTCGCATATAGCAGCAGCCGTTGTTCGCCAATTACCGCTAACAGAGCTTTCGCCAACTTCGCGCGCATTGATTCACCAAACCTCGCACTGTTGGAGCAGCCGCGTTGGCCTACACTTCAGGACTAGCCCGAACCTCGCGCCAACGTAGCACTAGTTAGCTCGCACGCACCGCGTTACCGTTTGCACGTTTCGCCTATAAGTATTCGCTCATGCCTTCGCTCATACTTTGTACTCACTCTAGTGCAATCCTCGCTACCTCAATTCATTGCACCCGTAACACACGCTTAGTTTTCTGCTCTAATGTTTTGTCGTTTGCTGGTTCGAGAAAGCGCCATACCACATATTATCACAAGGACAAGAAAATTACAATGGCAAAAGCTCATAAACCTTCACGCCGCTGCGACACCCCTCAGGGGCGGGATGCTCATACACCAGATTCACATGAAAATGCTTCCCCACCATTCGAAAAAACTTGCTATCTTTTTTCCACCGCCTCATGTGAGCAAGCAAAACCACACAGTGCCGACCACTCCCATTACCTCCCCGCCCTTGCCCTTGCCCCTGCTCCTGCCCCTGCCCCTGCCCCTGCCCCTGCCCCTGCCCCTGCCCCTGCCCCTGCCCCTGCCCCTGCCCCTGCCCCTGCCCCTTGCCTGCTAGCAGCAGCAGTGTCTTCGCAAGCGGCTCGAAAAGTGTGTCGTAGTAAACAATATCCGCGCCCAAAACAACGTCAAACAGCGGCGCAGAAGAATCCAAACCCCGCGCCTCTGAAATCCTCACCTCCGAATCCCGCACCTCCAGGTTCGGCACATTAATATCCAGCCCATCCGAACCTGGCAACGGTTCGGTGCACCGTTGGCCCGTCCTCCTGTACTCCTTCTCAAGCACTGCCATGTCCTCTGGCTCGCCCCATCGCAACACCCGCACATCCACCCTTTCTCCCTGCACCTCACCATATTCCAGAGCCCCACTATCCAAGTCACCCGCATCAATAGCACTCCCTCCACCTAAGTTCACCTCCTTGTTCCCCTGCACATTCCCCTGCAGGTTTGGCAGCACATGAGGTAGGTCCGGAACATTCAGCTGCCGTGCCATTTGCTTCGACTCAAACGAACCTGCATTGAGCTGCACGTTTGTCTGTAGGTTCGGCAGCACATGGGGTAGGTCTGTAAGAACCATTTGCTTCGCTCCTAGTACTGCTGCCATCATACCAGCCAGACCCGTCCCTGCACCCAGCTCCACCACTCTCAACCCCTGCAGACCGCACGCTCCCTGCTTCTCCCGCCTCTGCTTCTGAATCTGCTGCAGCAGCGGTGAAAGGAACTTGGGTTCTGTGTTGGTCCGCTGATCGTGCTTTTGCTGCTGATAGCGGCCTTTCTTGCTACCTGCGTTTTGTTCACTCAGCTGCTTCTCCCCCTCCCCCTTCTGTAAGTGAGGCTCCTCTGTCCCTGTCCCTGTCTCTGTATCTGCCTCCTCCCCCACCTCCTTATCATGCTGCTGCTGTTCCTGCTTCTGCTCCCGCTGCTGCTGCTCCGGCTGTTGCTGCTTCTGCTCGTTCTGGTCCTGTTGCTGCTCCTGCGGCTGCCGCTCTTGCTGTTGCTGCTTCTGCTGCTCTTGTTGATGCTGTGCAAAAGGGGGTTGACTAGCGCAGGGTCCGAAGGAAGCTTCCAGGAAGTGGCAGAGCGCTTCAGCAGCAGGCCAGAGCTGGAAGGAGAGGCCTTGGGAGGGCACCTGGCGCACGAGGAGAGGGGGGATAGAGCTGCAGGGGAAAGGGCAAAGGGAACAGAAGAGGAAGGATGGGAAGTTGAGAAAGGACGAGAGGTATGCAGCAGCAAAACAGAGCTGGAAGGAGAGCTCTTGGGAGGGCACCTGGCACACGAGGAGAGGGGGGAAAGAGCTGCAGGGGAGAGGGAGGGAAGGCAGGGGAAGCGACGGAAAGAAAAGGTAGCGAAGGGAAGAGGGGCATGCAGTGCGAGTCAGGTGGAAGGAGAAACCCTGGGAAGGGGGACCTGGTGCACGAGGAGAGGGGGGACCTGGCGCACGAGGAGAGGGGGGACCTGGCGCACGAGGAGAGGGGGTACCTGGCGCACGAGGAGAGGGGGTACCTGGTGGTCATCAGGTTTAGGGTTTCAAAGCGGGGTTGACGGACGGAATTCATGTTGGACAGAGATCCTTCAGATAAGACAGAATCTGGTTTATTCTATATTAAGAGGATTTGGCGTGGTTCAAGGGTTTGAGTGGGGTTCAAAGGTTTTGATGGGTTTCAAGGGTTCAAGCGGGGTTCCAGGATTAAGGGTTCAAGTAGAGTTGAAGTGTTCAACGGGTTTGAGTGATGATAGCGTTTGTATCCACCTGTTCAGGAACCCTAAACCCCTGGGCTAGCAGCCCAGCCTTCCCACATGTTCATGGCATGGTCTAGTTGTCTAGTTCGTCGTACCTGTTCAAGGGCTGGTAACCCACATGCACCACACCTCCGCGCATTCCCCCTTCCCCCTCCCCATCCCCTCCTCCCCGTTCCTCCTCCCCGCTCCCGTCTCCGTTCTCCCTTCCTTCCTCCCCGCGCCCTGACAGCGCCTCCCCGTGAACCCTCTCCCTGCCTACCGCCATCTCTCCCCTCCTCCGCCGCCCATCCCCGCCGCCGTCGCGCAAGGCGCTCGGCGGAGGCGCGACAGGGCCCACGCCCGCTCCGCCGCCCCTCGCGTTCCGCCGCCCGCGTCCCTCCTTCGAGCCCTCCGCGCCTTCCGCGGCCTTCGCGCCCCGCGAATCCTCTCCATCTTCCGCGGAGCTCTCGTCCTCCCCCTCGTCCCCCAGGCCTATCCTCCCCAGAGGCCCCATTAATCCCCCCGCGCCTTCCCCCTCCTCGTCACTCGACTCGCTTCCGCCGCACGCCCGCGGATCCGCCGCTTGCGCCATGCCCACGCACACCCCGTCGGCGCAGACTCGGCCCTTTGAGGCGCCTTAAATGCCAGCGAACGCCCAGTCCGCGCACGCTTGGTGGGCGCAAACCCTGTTCGCGCAAACCCCGTCCGCGCAAACTCGTTCCGCGCACTCCCCTTCCGCGAAAAGCGGTTTGGCGGGAACTGCCCCCGCTCCGCTGCCGCAGCGACCTTTTCCGCCTGCGCGCGCGCGTCAGCTTCAACTAGAAATCCCTGCCTTTCGCTTCGCGCTATGATGACCCTCGCATGACAGATGAGCATGTGCAGAGGCAGACTACTTGTACGATCTGGTGGGCTTGTTGCGTTGGGCTTCCTACGTATCTCTCAACGAAATCGGGGGTGACGCTCCGTTTTGCCCGGGGTGACGCTCGGGGGTGACGCTTTCGGGAGCTTCACCCTGACCCGGGCAGAAAAAAACTAAACCCCAAAGCAACCGGCATGCCATTCGGGAGCCTAAACCCTAAAATTTTTACGTTGAGGCTCCGGTATGGCATGCCATCCGTCTGGGGTTTAGTTTTTTTGCTCCGGGCAGTTTGTCGTTTCATGGTTTCCTCTTTGTTGTTTCCTCTCATACTAGACTGTTCGCTAGCAAATCTACATTTGAGCAGAAAAAGATGGCATCGGCATCGCGACCGCATCTGGAAACGGAGGCGGAACCCTCCTCCGAGGTTTGGGCGTAATGCCGCCCGTGAAACTTCTCACGCCGGAAAGGCGAAATTACGCAACCGCATCGGGAGCCTCCGTCCCCACCTTCCCCTGAATGACGCGAAACTTGAGCCTTATTGACCCTTGTGCAGCCCGATGACCAAAAATGGCTCGACGTGGGTTAAAAACGCAAAAAAAAAACCCAACCATGTGAGTGCTTACGGAGTTGACTATCGATTTCGACCAAGTCATGTGCGGGGGGCGCATCGAATGTATGTTTGGGAGTGGAAAAATGGGGGGTATTCGAACCCCCCTTTGTCAACAAATGGCTCGTTCAGAGGTTCCCCCCTGAACGGCAATGCGACGGCTGTGCCTCGCTGTGTTTTGAAAAACGGGGCATGGCGAAGGCATGGCTTGGGGATGGAATTTTGCCTGGGGACGAAGTTGCGTCCCCGCTTCCATATGGCGTCTGCAGTTCGATTTGGTGGACAAATGGGGGCGTTCGCCAGACACCCACTCTGATTGTTGGTTTAGACGGGGAGGCTCAGCACCTTTTTTACGGGCTGACCAGGCTGACGGCGGTAAACGAACCCTAACTGACGAGATCAGGAAGGCGAGACCCACCTTCCTGATCCCATCGTTATCCCGTGGTTTTACGCTTCACAGGTGCTGGCGAACAGCACATTTGAGTGGTCTTGCTCCTCCTTGGGTGTTTCCACTGTCTGCCTTATCCTAATAGCCTCTCTTTCCTTTTTATTGCAGAATCCTCTCTATAATCAGGCTGCATCAGTACAAGAGCCTAGCAATCATCATAGTCTCTGATAGTGGGAATCTCAGACTGACGAGAATCAATTACAGAACAAACAAGAGAGAGAGAGAGAGAGAGAATAAACACTCACACACACATACACACACATACGCATACATACGCACGCATACATGCATGCACACACACGCACACACATACATACACACACACACACATGCATACGCACGCGCGCACACACGCGCACGCACGTGTACGCGCGCGCGCACATGCACATACTCACACACATACACACAGAAGGTTGGAGGATGGGTGATTTAATACTAGACTTAGAACCAAAAATTGAATGCCAACCTTTTATCATGCCCTTCAAAGTAACCTCAAATTCGTTCTTTTGTGCCGAATATCATTCTTTCGCAACCACATGCTCCTTCCGCCACTCTAGTCTTGGTAGGTGTACTTCATCCCCCCTTTAGTCCTTCCCTCTTGTTACAATCCCAAGTGGGACTTAGCGAAGGATCGCTCAAGGTTGATCGCAGAGTAGTGATGCAGCGGAAGTTTGAATCTCAGGTCAGAGTGAATGTAAATGACTGAGTTGATAATAACATGCATACATCAGGTTTATATAAGAATACAGGGGAATACGAAAATACATAGACTAGCCATGTACTGTAAGGGGTACATTCCCTTATTGCAGTGAAATTCAAACCGTGCAGCGCGGGAACATGTTTCAAACCTGTTCCCGCTCTTTTCACTCCAAATGCTTCTGCCTGCATCGGTCTTGGTCAGACGGTTGCTGCGTCGCTTCGACTCTTCTGACTCCTCGTCTTCGTACTCTATAGAGTCGGCTCCTGCAGCATACAGGAATGCCTTCTCATATGAGATCATAGCGTAACACTCCCCTTCATTCCTGAGCGCGGGAAGAGCTGACTCGCTTGACTACCCCGGTGAGGTCCGAGCAGTGCTTGTACTGCTGACGTGGCAGTCGTTTGGTGAGGAAGTCTGCTGCCATCTCGGTGGTTGGGCAGTACGCGAGGTCAACCTTTCCCTGATCGATTTCGTCCTTGACGAAAAAATAACGAAGCGCGATGTGCTTCGTGCGGTTCACAAAGCCTGGCTTGTTCGCAATTCTGATGGCACTCTGGTTGTCGCAGTGAAGGCGAAAAGTGGGCGAAGTTGGAATCTTCGCCTCCTGTAACAGTTCCTGCAGGTACAGGCCTTCGCAAACTGCTGCTGACGTGGCGATGTATTCTACTTCAGCCGATGACAGGGCAACCAGCTCCTGCTTCTGTGAGTTCCAGGTGATTGGTTCAGTTGGTTCTAGGCGAAAAACAAAGCCAGTTTGGGACCGTCGATTCGCAGGATCAGCTGCATGGTCTGCGTCCACGTAGCCGTTGAGGTTGAAGGAGATCGTTGTCAGCGTGGAATAGGAGAGCCCGATGTCAGGTGTGGAGATGAAGTACTGCAGGGTGCGCTCCAGGTGTCAGAGTATTATAGCTGATGCATGTTTGTAGGCTATAGTGGGGTAGCACATATGGAGTACAGCTTTCTAGGGTTGTATTTGTACCCAACTCTGACTTAGTCATTTTCATTCCTGTTCACTTGTTTCACATGGTATAGAGCGGGTCCTTCCTTAGGACCGTTTTTTTTTTAGGGCCCACCGAAGCGCGCCCCGAGGCGCGCCTTTTTTTTAGCGACCCCTCGGGTCGCCATTTCCCTCGCGGCCCCGCTGTCCCTCAGACGCGGCCCCGCCACCCCTCCTGATCGCGGCCCCGCCGCCTGCTTGGCGCGGCCCCGCCGCCGGCTTTGACGCGGCCCTGCCGCCCGCTTCGTCGCGGCCCCGCCGCCTGCTTGACGCGGCCCCGCCGCCTCCACTGACGCGGCCCCGCCGCCGGCTCTGACGCGGCCCTGCCCGCCGCTGCACCCTACGGCCCGCCGCCTCACCTGACGGCCCCGCCGCTGCACCTGCCGGCCCGCCGCTGCACCCAGCGGCCCGCCGCTTCACCTGACGGCCCCGCCGCTGCACCTGCAGGCCCGCCGCTGCACCCTACGGCCCGCCGCTGCACCCTACGGCCCGCCGCCCCACCTGGTCGGCCCGCCGCTGCACCCTACGGCCCCGCCGCTGCACCTGCCGGCCCGCCGCTGCACCGGTCGACCCGCCGCTGCACCTGACGGCCCCGCCCCTGCATCTCCCGGCCGAGCCGCCCTAGCAGCAGAGCCGCCCCAGCAGCCGAACCGCCCGGGAGCCGAGCCGCCCAACGCCGAGCCGCCCGGGACACGAGCCGCCCTGCCGCCGAGCCGCCCGGGAGCCGAGCCGCCCTGCACCCGAGCCGCCCTGCCGCCGAGCCGCCCGAGAGCCGAGCCGCCCTGCGCCCGAGCTGCCCAGCCGCCGAGCCGCCCGGGAGCCGAGCCGCTGTGCACCCGAGCCGCCCGGTCGCTGAGCCGCCTTTCTGCAGAGCTGCACGACCTGCCCTGCCTGGTGAGCACAGTCCCACTGACACTGCGAGCTCTTTCCCTACTGCTTGCACTGCGTCGCTGTCGTCGCCATGGCTACCCCTAGTGTCCTAGCTTTTGACGCTGAGGGTCGCGCCATTGATTTTGAGGTCTGGTTAGACGACATGCAGCTGTTCTTACAGTGCGACAGGGCTGACGACCTTTCTCTCTTTGACCTCACCTCTGGCGCCTCTCCTGCTCCTGCTGCTGATGCTGATCCCACGGTCCGCTCTCAGTGGGCCACCCGCGATGCTGCTGCACGTCTTGCTGTGCGTCGCCACCTCCCTACCTCTGAGCGTGCGCACTTTAGTCAGTACAAGAGTGCTCAGACCTTGTACGTCGCTGTAGTTGCGCGCTACTCCTCCCCTGCCACTGCTGCACTGAGCCGTCTCATGCTTCCCTACCTCTTTCCTGACCTCTCTGCCTTTCCCACTGTTGCTGACCTCATTACGCACCTCCGCACTAGTGACACTCGCTACCGCGCCGCCCTTCCTGCTGAGTTCTGCGCTAAGAACCCACCCCCCATGTACATCGCTCTCTACTACGTAGTCGCGCGCCTCCCTGACTCTCTTCGCGTAGTCAGGGACCACTTTCTCGCAGTCTGTCCCACCACCCTCACTGTCGACCTCCTCGAGAAGGCCCTCCTCGCGGCGGAGAAGAGCATCGTCGCTGTAGGAGCTTCTCGGGGTGACCCTCGCACCCCCATCTTTGAGGGGTGCTCTCCTTCCCCCCTACTGCCCTCTGTTGCCTCTGCTGCTGCTGCCGACCTGCTTGGTCTTGAGTCGGTCGGCGCGGCGTCTACCCCTAGTGGGAGACGTCGCTCCAGCAAGGGCAAGGGGGGCAAGGGCGCGGGTGGAGCTGGAGGGGGCGGTGGCGGTGGCGGCGGTGGCGGCGGAGGGAGTGGGGGTGGCGGCGGGACTAGTGGCGGGGGTGGTGGTGGTGGTGGCAGCAGCGGCGGAGACGGTGGTGGTGGTGCCAGTGGTGGTGGTGGAGGCAGCGGTGGAGGTGGAGGCGGCGGAGGTGGAGGCGGTGGAGGCGGCAGCGGAGGAGGCGGTGGTGGTGGAGGAGGTGGA